TTTGTCGAAATCAACCCCCAAAAATTCGACCAAAATCTGGAAAATTTCCAGAATTTTCGGGTAGCTCAAAGGGTTTTTCTCTTTGATTTTTCAATGAAATTTCCCATTGTACCAAAGCTGCATTTTCACCAAAACTACTCTACACATATAGGTGAACATATACATGATTTAAATAGCTCAATAACTTCACAAAATCCAGTCAGAATCTGGGTAAAGTGGAAGAAAAACAGGCCTGCTGGTTCGGTTGCAGAGCAGAATTTTCTCCTTCTTTTTGCTCAACCATTTCAACTTATAATCATACTTTAAGTCCATAACAATCACAACTAACTAGTCTAACCTCCCAACAAGCAATCCAGTTCATTACCTAAGCGAAAATTTGCAAAACAACAGGTAACAAAGCTGGAAAATTTTCCCTTCATCTCGGCCAGCACCCCATTTTCATTCTTAAAATTTCCCAAACATTTACCCACCACAAAACACACATATAAACACATAAAACACCTCTAGCTTCATCAATCATTAGCTTAGAGGATCAGCAACCCAACATGTTTCACCAAGACAAGCTAAAACTTCAAGAACCAAAAGCTGCAACAAATCTGAAATTTTGGCTAAGGGGGTGAAGCGGAAGTTTTTGGGTTACCTTTGGTGGTTGTTTACTAGCTAAATGAAGTTCCTAGTTCCCCAAGTTCGCTCCTAGAATCACTGAGGTCAGTCGGCACCCCTTGCAGCTTCCTTGGGGGTTTTTTTTCTCTCGCCAGACCTAGTCGCCGCAGCAGCACAACAACGATTCGAAGGTGGAAGCTGGAAATGGAAGCTTGAAGATTGGGGTGTGAATGGCTGAGGATGGAAGGCTGTTAGAAGCCTGGAATGGCAGCGGTCTCTGCTTCTTCATGCACCAGAGGAACGGAAGTTTAGAGGGGTAAGAAAAGGGTGGTAGCTGGTGACAAGATGGGAGGAAAATTGGGGTAGTCTAGGGAGTAGTCTAATTGACTTTTGGGCATGCTAATAATGGTGGAAAAATTTTAAATTGAATCGCGTTTACGCGCGAGAATTTTATCTACTGGTAGAAATTCCTCATCTAGCATTTTCTCAACTGAATTATACATTTTTATAACCTCTACATATCATACAGTTCAACTTAGAGTTAGATTGCGTATGGGAGTGCGAAAATCCAACTTAATGTTTAGCCGAACGCGAACCGTCAAATAAATTTTGAAAATTCATGTAAATTAAAATATAACATTTATATAAGTGAAAACATCATTAATAATATAAATACACATTTTTAAATATAAATTCATATTATTTAATAATTTTCAAAGTTTAAATAATATTTATTTTAATTTTCAGAAATTAATGAAATTTTTGAGACCCTCACAGGCGGATATAGCACGGGTAGGGCTCCTGCAAGATCTGGAGCAATCTCTGAATTTTTGAAACACAACCATTTCTAAACATGCCACCTACAAGAGCTCCTTACGCCGACAGCTCTTATGAGCGTGGTCCGGTAATTAGAGGCAGGTACTCGAATCCGGAAGGCGATTTGGACAGGAGCTGGTCAACGCAGCAGTGGCTAAGACTTCTTGTCGAATACTTTTGTTCAGCACGCCTCAACCAGTAAACCAGCTTTCCGACCACTGGCTCGCGCATTGTTAGTGAGCATTTACGGCAGCCAGTGCCAGTGTACCAAAAATCATTCAAATTTCAAACATTTTGGATTTGCGAACGCCATGGGTTTATATGCAAGCGGTACAGAGTAATTGGCGAGGCTGCCGAACACAAGGGTATGGGTATGTACCCGTTTGGGCAGTTCAAAGCTAAAGAGGTTTGAATAACAGATGGCTCAGGCACTGGAGCAAACATCAATTTGGAGATATATTTTCAAGGCTTCTCGACAACACGAGATCGAAGTTCAGCAAAAGGAGGTCGCTATAAGAAGCCAATCCCATGGAGGAGGCGAGAGAGGAGCCGCTTCGATTGCGCAAGCTCCGCCTACTGCACAAAGGCTTACGGCGTTCAGAGGAAATACTGGCACCAAAAAGGCGCCGCCTGCCGATGGTTGAGAGGATGGTGACTGTACACACGGGTTCTTACCATGCCTCTGTCGCGGAGAAAATGAAGCGCCAACTTGCAGTTCCCCCCAAATGGCAATTTCAACTTCCACGCTGCATTAAAGATGGGGAGGGGGCATGGGTTGGACGATGAGCGAACAAATTGCGGCGGGAAGCGGTTGACTTTTTTCAAGCGGGCTCTTAACAGCGCGAGAGAAGTGGGCGGAGGGATAGATGATCTTGCTAATCCACGTCCCCGAGAGCTTGTTACCGTAGAGCCAGAAGTGTGGAATTGCTAAGGGAGGTACCATGGGAGGAGGTAAAAAGGGTTGTTTTCGAGCTCGTGACCAAGGATAAGTGCTCCAGGTTGCGGATGCTACGACAGGCGGCCTTCTCAGACAGCTGCTGGATACTTGTGGCGTTTGGATGTCTGGGCAGCAGCTCCGAGGATTTTATGGCCTGGCCACCGATCCCGAAAGGGCTATTGCGTAGTAGACTGATTGTTTTGCTTCCAAAGAAACCTAACCCATCTACGTTTGCAGATTTTCGTCCCATTAGCTTATGCACCTTCGTCAACAAGATTTTTACGAAGGTGTTAGCTAATAGATTGCGGGCCATCCTTCCAAGCATTATTTCTTAGGAACAATCCGCTTTCTGTCCAGGCCGGGATGTCACCGAAAATGTCCTCCTGGCACAAGAAATGGTGGCATCCATCAATCGGAAGGCTCGAGGTCACAATTGCATTTTCAAATTAGATATGATGAAGGCCTTCGACAGAGTGTCCTGGGGATTTCTGCGGCGGCTCCTCCAGAAATTTGGTTTCGATTATAGATTTATTTTGCTCATTTTAAATAATCTCTCTCAAAGCTGGTTTTCTGTCTTGGTAAATGGCAGGTCGAGGGGTTTTTTTCAGGCATCACGCGGGATTAAGCAAGGTGACCCCCTGTCCCCTATTCTATTTATTTTGGCATCTGAGGCTCTTAGTAGGGGTTTAAATGCACTGGTGGAAGGTGGTAGTGTCGCTCCTTATGCAATGCCGAGAGGCTGCACTAGTATCACACACTTGGCTTTTGCGGACGATATTGTCATATTTGCTCGTGGAGATAGGAGATCAGTGGGCAATCTGCTCCGTTTCTTAACACTCTATCAGAATGGAGCGGGGCAACGGATCAACAAGCAAAAGAGTTTCTTTATAGCGTCAAAGCGGTGTGGCGCTGGCCAAATTCGCCAAATCCAACATTTAACAGGGTTCAGGCATGGCTCCTTTCCTTTTTCTTATTTGGGGTGCAACCTCTACGCTGGTCATCGAAAAAAGGAGTACTTCCACTTTTTGATTGAGAAGTTTGTTGCTAAGCTAGCGGGTTGGCAGAAGAAGCTTCTCACACAAGGGGGTCGCTTGATCCTAATTAAGCATGTTTTGTCCGCCATACCCTTGCATGTCCTGGCGGTCATGGATCCCCCCAAAGCGGTGATCCATAGTCTAGAACGGCTAATGGCTCGCTTTTTTTGGGGCCAATCGGAGTTCGGACCAAAACACCACTGGTGCTCCTGGAAGAACTTGTGCTACCCCACAGCTGAGGACGGGCTTGGGCTACGTTGCTTTGAGGACATACAGGGGGCTTTTAGCTGTAAATTGTGGTGGCGGTATTGTAATTCCAAATCCCTATGGGCCGATTTCATGAGATCCAGATATAGTGTGCACAGTGGGGCGCAACAGGCAGCATCCAGAGTCTGGAGACGAATGCTGGCCGTCCGCGACACAGTGGACCAATTCACGCAGGTTATAAAATTAGATGACACAGTTCGGCGAGCCTGGGTCCTTACAGCCTCCGGAGAGTTTACCGTCTCCTTGGCATGGGATGCAATGCGGCCTCAGCAGGCGGACCTTGGTTCAAGGAGATGCATATGGGATTGTTGGCTCCCTTGCAAAATTTCAATTTTCATGTGGAAGCTACTCAATAACTACTTGCCTTTCCCTGAAGCGTTGCGTAGGTTTGGCTTCCAACTCCCTTCCAAATGTCAGTTCTGCCCCACCGGAGAGTCTCAGGATCATGTCTTGTCCGATTGCTCGCTTGCAACAGAGGTGTGGAATTTCTTCTCCAGGGTCCTTCGGATACCTATTCAGCCCTCCAATGGTGTCGTTTGCCGTTTGCAACAATGGTGGCTTTATAAATCTCAAAGTACCGCTCGGGGTGAATTATGTAGGGTACTGGCATCAATCATAAGTTGGGGACTGTGGAAGGCTAGGAATGTGGCAATGTACGAGGGTGTTAGGTTGACGCCAACACAGGTTTGTCGGAACATACAGGCTTTGCTACTCAGCATTTCCCAATCCCACCCTTTCGTCCAGATGGCGCACAACGACAGGGAGTTGGTGCAATCTGGGTTGCTACTTAGCATGACACAGAAGAGATAGAGGCTCCCGTGCAGGGTCACATGGGTCATGCCGCCAAGCGGGTGTGTGAAGCTCAATATTGATGGCTCGTCCCTAGGAAATCTCGGACCGTCAGGAGCTGGAGGGGTGCTACGTGATTCAGATGGTACCATCCTAAGCGGTTTCTCAACGTTTTTGGGGTCAATGACAAATATGGAAGCAGAGGCCTTGGCGCTGCTAGAGGGCATGCGTGTTTCTGCTGGATTTCACTGGTTGCACGTCGAAATGGATTCTCAAGTCTTGGTACGCATGGTGACTGGCAATGGAAGTGTTCCTTGGAAGCTATGGAGTACTATCTCGTGCATCAAAGCCATAGTCCTGGGCCGGCAGATTACTTTTACTCACACCTACAGGGAAGCAAACGCAGTTGCAGATGCCCTTGCAAATCTAGCAAGTTGCACGCATGTTTGTCAGAGATTTTCTCCTTCTCAAATCCCGGAGTATATAAAAGGGTTAGCCCGCCTAGATAAGTTACAGATGCCTTATGTACGCTTGGCATAGGTTGCGTAGAGCTGTTATGTACTGGCCTTATGTACTGGCAGAATCTCAGCCTCATCCACCGCACATTGTTGGAATTCTGAATAAATATTGGAGTGGCGCCCACCCCTGTATACGGGGTTAGCCAAAAAAAAAATGTTTAGATAGTAAAATTAATTTTCAGCGACTCGTTTAGTAAGAAATAGCGATTACACGTTTTTTGAGGTAAAATTCGATCTGAGAGCGCATTAATTTTGGAGAATGAAGGATGGTCAATAGTAGACTAGGAAAAGTTAATTGAGAGATTAAATGTGAGTGAGTTAAATTAAGCTCAATTAGGAGCACTAATTGCTCACTATTCAATTGTTGACTTTTGGGTACCAAAGCACCTTTATGTCATTCTTCCTTTTACTCCATCAAATCACCAACTAACCACACAAAACCTTTCTTCTTCCTCTCCTTCTTGGCCGGCTATCCCTTCACCCATTTCTACCAAAAATTTCATCTAGCTTTCTTCCTCTTTTGCTCCAAGAAGACACTCCAAACTTGCTTCTTTTCTTGGTTCATTGCACAAGCTTGAAGGGTGACTTGAAGGAGGAAGGAACTGTAAGGCCCAAAGACAACTTAAGAGAGGAGTGAATTAGATTGATTATAAAACTAATCAAGTTATGGACACTTTTTGCTTAATATAAAATTTACCCCCTTTTCTAAGTGATCACACAATGAATTAATCAATGAATGAACAATATCACTTGAAAGAAATATAAGCAATTTAAAGATTACAAGATAACAATAAATAAATAAGAAGGGAAGAATTGCAAACCAATTGACTACTAAGCTCCTCTTGAACTTGTAGATCAATTCAAACAAGTTTCTTCAAATTGATGAAATACAACCAATCTTGTGTATAAAGGAAGGCTCACTTCCTCCTTGCCCCAATCTCCACTTGATTAAATTAGGAAGTTTTACCATCCCTCAGGACAACCCTCACAGAGCTACACTATTGAAGTATTCACTCACAAATGAAAAGTTTACAATGAACTTCACACCACCAAGACTACAAATCTTCCTTGGAGAGTGTTTTTTTACTAAAACTACTCTATATCTTTTGTTTCTTCAGTGTACAAAAGTTATTTGAAGTTTCTGACCAAATTCTATTTATAGGAAGTCAATAAAGTGTTTCATTAATGCTTCCAACGGATAGAAAGTAGCTGAAGAGTCAACTAGTCGTTGGGAGTATCGGACGTCCGGTACATCTGAAGCATGCGTCCGACAGCAGGCAGTGAGTTTGAAAAATCTTCTTCAATTCTATCGGACGTCCGGTACTTGCGTCCGAAAGCAGACAATGAGTTAGAAGGAATATCTCAATTCTATCGGATGTTCGATATCGTCTTTGTGAGCGTCCGACAGTTTTCTTCGAGTTTGAAAGATCCTATCAAACGTCCGATACTTGCGTCCGATCAAGGTCAGTGAATTAGGGGGAATGTCTTATTTCCTTCGGACATCTGGTGTGGAGTTCTTCATGCGTTCGAAGTTACGCAATGATTATCGGACGTCCGATCCAGTCTTCAAGAGCGTCCGACAGTTTTCAGCACTCTTTGTCTCTTTCAATTGTACTTAATTTTTGAATTTGATTTGCTTCATTGCTGAAAAGATTTTTGAGAAAATATTAGTACTATCCATTTGTTTTGTAAATATCAAAAGACAGGGATCAAGATGAACATTCTCCCCCTTTTTGATGATGACAAAACAATGGATGGAAGGAATGAAAATGAGTAGAAACTTCCCCTTACTCATAGTATCCAAAATCATTAAGTACCATCATAAAATATTATCAAATAGCATCCCAAACTAGCATCCATTTTATAATTTCTTCCCCTTTTTGTCATCATAAAAGTAGAAAGTAATTGCCATAAAAAAATAGTAGTGGCAACCATCATCAACCAATAATAGAAGAATAACATCAAAAGATACCAAAAATTATTAATGAATATCAATGAGACAAACATTCACATCAACCAACATTCATTAGTAATTCAAAAACCATCAAAGGAAACTTAATTCAAAACATCAGAAATATCAAAAGCATTACAAAATACTTGTAGCGATCATACCTCTGTATTTATTCTCATCAATTTTCGTACCTTCTTGAGTTTGAAGCACTCGGAGTCCAAGAAAGAAGTTCAAACTCCCATCATACTCATCTCAAACTCATTTAGCATAATAGTGAAAAAAATTCTTGCACAAATACTTATTAATAGCACCAAAGATAATATTATTCACATATATATGTACAAATAGAAGATCATTTGAACATTATTTAGAGAAAAGAGTGGTATCCACAATACCCCTTTTAAAAATATTCTCAACAAAAAAAAAACTATTTACTTTTTAAACAAAAAAAAATCATTCTCAATCAAGAAATTTGGGTCTTTGAGAGTTAGCATCATGTCTAACTATCCACATACATTTCATGTCTCTTCTCATGTTTTTTCTCACATAGCAATCACTTTTCATGTGACATTTTTAACGATAAAAATTACACATAACCAAAGCGTTATTTGCAAAATCAGGTTTAATAAATCTTGCAAAATCATTTGCACCAGAATTTAATTTCTTCTCATGAGTGCCAAAATGAGTTTTTGTTCCATTTTCTTGAAAATAGTTTTATTTTTTATGTTTGAGTAACTCATTTAAATTATCCATTCTTCTTTTCAAATCACCTTTCCACTTTTTGAACATTTCACAAAGTCTTGTTTTTCTATCAAACTCATTTTGTAGATCAATCTCACCCTTTTTCAAATAATCATTTTCAACTTTCAGCTTTTTATTTTCTTGAAAAAGACGTGTATTATGCTGAAGAAAAAAACTAATTTTGTATTTCTAGCATAAGATTCTTTCAAACTATCATACAACTTTTTAATGAAAGATTGAAGTTCATCATCGGTTTCATCATCACTTTCAAATTGATGGTTAGAAGTCGTTATCTCATTATCTTCAATGGCCATAAAATTCAATTGAGCAGATTCTTCTTCCTCTTCAATTTCACCATCGGAATTGCACTCATTCCATGTGAATTGAAAATTGTTGAATCTTGATTTTCTTTCAGTTTTTCTCTTCTTCATTGGACACTCACTCATGTAATGTCCAAATTGGCCGCATTCATAGCATTTGTCATCTTATTTTTTGTTGGCCTCATGCTTTCCTCTGTTTCTTACATTGTTGAATTGATTAGAATCAGAATTGCTAGATCCTCCTTTTCTAAATCTCCTTTTGTTGAGAATTCTCTTGAAATTTTGTGTGATGAGAGCAAGATCATTGTCATCAACATCCAAATCTTCTCCATCCAATGAAACAGAATCTTCTTCATCTTGAGATACTTTTAGAGCAATGTTCCTTCGTACCTATGCATCTTCTTCTTGTTGCACTTTTGTCTTAAGTTTCAACTCATAAGAGGTTAGAGAATGAATAAGAGATTCAATAGGCATAGAATTCAAATCTTTAGCCTCTTCAATAGCAGTCACCTTACTTTCCCAATCCTTTGACAAAGTATTCAATATTTTTCTATTTTTCTCTCCCAAGGAGTATTCCTTTTCTAGCACCTTTAGATCCTTAATAAGATTATTGAATCTACAATACATTTTATCAATATTTTCATGAGGTTCCATCTTAAATGACTCATATTTAGTAACTAAGATAGATTTCTTTTGTTCTCTAACATTCTCACTACCTTCATGAATTTCTCTTATCTTGTCCCAAATTTCTTTAGTTGACTTACAACCATTGACTCTAATAGATTCATTTGAGTCTAAAGCACTATATAACACATTCATAGATTTTGCATTTAAAGCGAGATGAATTCTATCCTCTGCAGTCAATTCATATCTTGTTTTGGTCTAGGTCTATGGGTGTTTTTATCTACTATAGAAGCATCATATGGATCTTTATTAATAATAAACCACAATTCAATATCAATCTATTGCAAGAAAATAATCATTCTTTCTTTCCAACTCACATAATTCGACCCATTAAACATTGAAGGTCTAATTACAAATTGTCCTTCAAAAAACATGGCATTGTTGGTTGTCATCTTTACTTCTAAGCCACTTGAACTTAATCTCTAGGAGACCAAGTTTTGATACCAATTGTAAGGCCTGAAGACAACCTAAGAAGGGGGTGAATTAGTTTGATTATAAAACTAATCAAATTATGGGCATTTTTTGCTCAATATGAAATTAACCCTCTTTTCTAAGTGATCACACAATGAATTAATCAATGAATAAACAATATCACTTGAGAGAAATAGAAGATATAAGCAATTTAAAGATCACAAGATAACAATAAATAAATAAGAAGGGAAGAATTGCAAACCAATTGACTACCAAGCTTCTCTTGAACTTGTAGATCAATTCAAACATGCTTTTTCAAATTGATGAAATACAACCAATCTTGTGTATAAAGGAAGGCTCACTTCCTCCTTACCCTAATCTCCACTTGGTCAAGTTAGGAAGTTTTATTATCCCTCAGAACAACCCTCACAGAACTACACTATTGAAGTATTCACTCACAAATGAAAAGCTTACAATGAACTTCATACCACAAAGACTACAAATTTTTCTTGGAGAGTGTTTTCTCACTAAAACTACTCTATATTTTTTGTATCTTCAGTGTGCAAAAGTTATTTGAAATTTCTAACCATACTCTATTTATAGGTGACAAAAAAAATGACTGATTAATGCTTCCAATGGATAGAAAGTAGCTGAAGAGTCAATTAGCCGTTGAGAGTATCGGACGTCCAGTACATCCGAAGCATGCGTCCGACAGCAGGCAGTAAGTTTGAAAAATCTTCTTCAATTCTATCGGACGTCCGGTGCTTGCGTCCGAAAGCAGATAATGAGTTAGAAGGAATATCTCAATTCTATCTGACGTCCGGTATTGTCTTTGTGAGCGTCTGATAGCTTTCGTCGAGTTTGAAGGATCCTATCGGACGTCCGATACTTACGTCCGATCGAGGTCAGTGAATTAGGGGGAATATCTTATTTCCTTCGAACGTCCAGTGATGGAGTTCTTTATGCGTCCGAAGTTGCACAGTGATTATCGGACGTCCGATCCAATCTTCACGAGCGTCCGACAGCTTTTAGCACTCTTTGTCTCTTTCAATTGTACTTAATCTTTGAATCTGATTTGCTTCATTGCTGAAAAGATCTTTGAGAAAATATTAGTACTATTCATTTATTTTGTAAATATCAAAAGACAGGGATCAAAATCAACAGGAACTTTGGGGGTTTAAGAGATTATACACTAATGGTTGGTCTACATCTTTTGGAAGCAAGGTAATCATCCAAAATCCTCATCTTTTCCTCTCAATTTATAGTAGTTAGTGATTATATCTAGTTAATCTTTGAGTTGTTGATGGGTTCACAAGAACCTTGACACTAGGTAGAGGACTTGAGATGGCTTCATAGGTAGAGGCCTTGAGGATTATTGTGTGTTTACTTGTTTGTTTGGTGCTTGTTTTGATGAATTATGACTTAGTTTTGGTTGAAAAATTGAAAAGAAAACTAGAGGAAAGAAAGAGGCTTGCTGTCCGAATTTTGGCTGGATGAATTCCTCATGTTAATTTCGAATTTTATTGTTGTTTTGGTGCTATAATGTTTGTTATATGATGATGTTTATGTCTGTTAAATATCTCCCAAAAAACTTTACAATTGATTGAGTTAAAGTAGGGGAAAGTGAGGTTGAAAATCTGAAAATTTTTTTGATCAGGAGACCCAACCAGTGTTCACGTTTTGGCCCATAGCTTTTTGTCTGGGAGTTGAAATCAGGTATTGTTTGTGACATTTGAAACTAGACTCCAAGGCCTTTCCAATGGTATAAAATGCACCTCTTAATTCATTTCCTATGAGCTGTAGTGAACCGGTAAAAATGACTGATTTTTCTCACTGCTTTCATCCGAGAAACGGTCATAGCTGCAGTTTGTAGTTCAATTTCACCTACCTTGCAAAACGAATTTTAAGATAGTTCCTTCTAGTGATTTTTGGAATTTTGAAGCTAGTTTTCAACGCTGCTAATCACCCTAAATTTTGAGTTGTGTAGCTTTACTTATAATCAGATTTCGAAACTCTATCAAGTACTTCAGAACTGGAAATTCCTTGAAGCAGGTTCCAAAACTCAGCTTTCTTAAAACTGTTGTATCTTGGTGTAGAAAGGTCCAAATTGAGTTCTGTTTATTGATTTTGAAACTAGATTTGGAGTTCTATTAGTGTTAAAAATTTCAAGGGTTGGTTTTATTTCTATGAATTGTGCCGAATTTCCAAATTTTACTGAAATTGCAAGCCTGTTTTGCTCTCTCCTGTCTAGAATAGTGATTTTGAGCTGAGATTTGGATGGTTTTGGATTGGAGTCTGCGAAAAGTGTCTTCTAGAGAGTTTTAGAGCATTGAGTCTAGTTTTCAACGGTATAAAGTTTTCAATTTTTGGACTTACGAAACTCGAGATATAATTTTTCCAAATAGTGTCATACCAAGCTGGAAATTTTCTGGTTTCAAACAATGGACTCTTTTAAGCACTTTCAACCTTCCTTTGAGATTGTTGGTCCATTTTAAATTTAATTTCATGGTTGGATACAAGGTCTCTTTGAATTTTAAACCTTCGTTTTGTATCTTAGTTTCCAAAAGTTTAATCTTCTTTTGATGAGTCTTCTTGGTTGCCTAACTTCCTTGGTTAATGGCGCCTCTTTTCATAATTGAGATATGGACTTCAACCCTAGTCTTATGCCCTCGGTTTTAATTAGATTGAACTTTAAAAAGAGAGAGTTTTAACTAGAGTAATTATTAGAGAATTTCACTAGTTTTATACTCAAAATTTGGAACCTTTAGCTTTGACATTTACTATGAAAATGAGTAGAGTTTTGATGAGTTTTGACTCCATTAGTTTGGAAAATGTGAACGTTCTTTATATTCTAGAGTTTGGACATAAGATTGGAAGTTTTGAGAAATAGAAATCATCTACCCTTTTTCTCGATTTTCGTGCGAAAAGTGAATATGGTACTTTCTTTTGGAATTGAGATTTACTTACCACGACATAAATCAAAAATGATTTTTGAGTTCTCTTTGAGCATTATTTTAATGATTTAACGAGAAAAACTCCTTTGACTTGATTCAAATTTGTGACCTTGAGAGTGGGTAGCGAGAAAATATTTTTCTTCTTAATCTTGGTCGAGTACCTAGGTAATCATGATTGTGCATGTCTCAGGTGGTCACGAGGACGCCGAAAAGCTCGTCTAACTTATCGCTTTGCTCTTGCTTTGCCTTGACTTTTGGTGAGTGTCAAGTGCATGTTCAATACTAATGTGATTGAAATGAGATTTGTACAAGTGCTATATGATACGTGAACTTGTCGAGGCGAGGGTGTACTTTATCACCCTCGCCCTCTCTCTCTTGTGATTGAATGATACTTGTTAAATGAATGTATATGACTTGCACTTGTACTTGAAATGTTTTAACTCGTGAGCACTGAACGGCAGAATGTATCACGCCCTATTGGGGTGGGAGGTACCGCTCATTCCGACTCAGTGCTATGAACGATTTTAAGTCGATTGAAGCGTTGTCTTATCGACCAATCATGCTTGTGGGGACGCCCCAACCCATTGGCTAACCTTGTAACTCGAACCGGTAAGGGCTTGGTCGAGAAGTTTAGTGAACCTTGGGAAATGATATAGCTTGATCTTTTGAGATCTCGCTAGGCATACTCGAATAGTATCGTCACTACATAAATGTTTGGTTACGGATCCGAGTGGGTGTTGTTAGATGGAGGTAGTAAGTGGAGAGTTACGGTCCTATTACTACTTGAGTTGACAGAGAGTCAACCCTAAATGACTGGAATTGGTCGAGACGTAGATATAGCTCATGAGAGCTCCCGTATCTTTCCATGTGTGTTATTTCCTACTTGTGCACTTAAATGAAATTTCATGTTTAAAGTTGCTTTAAAGTATGTTACTTGATTGATTGGTGCTACTTGCTTGCTTGTTTAAATTTTATTGGCCTCACTGAGCTTTCGCTCATCCCTTTAAGTTTGTTTTCCTTAACAGAATTTGGAGGTGGATTGGAGGTTTTAGTCTAGTGACTTGGTGGATGCTAGTATATCTTTTGTATGATTTTGGTGACTCTTAAAGTGTAAATTTTGCTACTCTTGATTGGTGGATTGTAATTATAATGGCTAGCCTTAGAAATTGTGGTTTGTATATTTGAAATACTTCTTAATCAAGTCGATGGTTGTTTTCTGACTCTATATTAAGTATGAACAAGTGCATGAGTCCTGACGAGAGTTAGGCAGGTGTCCCGTTGATCCCCTAGGGTTCACCCTAGGGAGAGATGGGGGTGTCACAATTTAAATGGTAATCATAATGCTTGATAAACCCTAGAAAATACATGCCCATTCTTTTGGTTTTGGTAAAGAAATGATTGAAACTTTTAAGTTTATAATTTGATATATGTAACTAGAAAATCTTGGTTAACGTAGCCATTACTTTCTCCTTGTAAAAAAATTACTTTTGTGGCAAAATTTCGGCTTACATATCCCTATTAAGGGAAACTATAGCACCCTAAACAAGCTAAGTTTGAACTGAACAAAAATCACAACTCCAATATCAATTTCACTCACTTAAGCCACAAGAAAACAAACGGACAGCATTTCCCCTATATTGCCCTAACTTTTCCTCCAATTTTTCAAGCTAAGTTTCATGGCAAAATAGCCCAAATCAAAACCACAAGTAATAGGAGACAATTGGTACCTATTCTAGGTTACAAAGGCTAACCAAATTCAACATATATTTGATATATAAAAAACTATACCCAAATTGGAATTTTGAAACTCTAAACTGAAAATTTGTAATAAAAGCTGAAAAATTCTACTTTGAAACTAGAAATCTTCATATAAACACTCTCAAATCCATATCAAAACTAGATACTATCATTTCATGGCTAAAAAATACAAATCAAAGCTAGAAAATTCCACCAATTTCACAAATCCATGATATCTTCCATAAAACTTCCATATTCAAGTTATCTATCTAATAAAATACAAGATAAGAAAGAGAAGGAGAGTTTCTTTGTTTTATACCTTTAAATCTCAAGAAAAAACACAAAACCAACGCTGCCTATACAAAATCACTCCATCTCAAGCTTCTTTGCCACCTTGTTGCAAGTTTGTTCGGATTAGATTTGTGGTTCTTGTTGATTCCTCACCAAATGAAGGCAAAATCAAGATGAAAATTGAATCTTTCTTCTCTTTTTTTCTCTCTCTTTTGGTCGGCCAAGATGGTAGGAAAATGAAGGAAATGTTAGTGAAATGGAAGATAAGAATGGAAGAAAGGCTTTTGGTCAAAGTTGGCTTTGATTGCCAACACTTGTCACCTTCCATTTTTTTCCTTTTCTTTCTTTTCTTTTTCTCTCTTTTTTGGTCAAAATTTTTGGCCAACACCCCTAATAGGAAAAATATAAGGGAAATAAGAAGATTAAGAAAAGAAAATCTTGGTCAAGTAGTGTCTTTATCAGTAACAAGCGGCGCAAGTCGGTTCAATCCTGTTTGTTTGTCTCACTTGTATTTTTAACTTATGACTCACTAATTTACTCTTAGTATTTTAATCATATACTTTCTCTTAGTTAATACCCACTCTCATTCACCAAATTTAGTGCACACATCTCACCAATTAAGCACACTACCATTATACACCTTAAACCATAGCATGCACCAACTATAAAAGTAAAAGTAAAACTCTCAACTCTATTATTTGTTACACCTACTAAGGCAAGTAAATTAGTATTGAGGAAATTATAAATTAACTTATTCAAAAATAAAGGGAATTATAAGAAAATATAAACAAATTTATAAGTCGTCACACTTTCTCCCCCTTAAAAGAATTTCGACCTCGAAATTCATACATTTATTCGAAAATAATTTGGGGTATTTTTCTTGCATGTCTATTTCTAACTCCCAGGTCACCTCTTTTTATCCCATGATGCCTCCACAGAACCTTAACCAGTGAAATTTACCTGTTTCTCAAGTCTTTCACCTTTCGATCTAGAAGTCGAATAGGCCGCTCTTTATAGATCAAAGACTCGTCAAACTCAATATCCGCTGACTGCAGGATATGGGTTGAGTCTGGGTAATATTTCTTAAGCAGGGATATGTGAAAAATATCGTGGATTTGAGACAAACTTGCAGGTAACTCCAAACAATACGCCACCTTTTCTATCCGTTGGAGTATATTGAAGGGACCTATGTATCTTGGTTGTAGCTTCTTCTCTTTTCCCGCCTTGATCCTTCCCTTCAATGGAGTAATCTTAAGAAATAATTTATCTCTAATTTCAAACTCCAAATCCTTCCTCCGATGATCAGTATAACTATTTTGTCGACTTTGGGTTGTTTGAAGTTTTTGACGGATTATTTTTACCTTTTCATATGCCTCCTCAACCTATGGTATTGTTACCGGATCCATAACCTTTTTCTCTCGAATCTCATCCCAATGGATTAGGGATCGACACTTTCATCCATGAAGCACCTCATACGATGCCATGTGGATAGAAGCATGATAACTATTATTTTAGGCAAACTCAACTAATGTCATATATTGGTCTCAACTTTCTCAAAAATCCATGATACATGATTTTAGCATATCTTCCAGGGTTTGAATGGTTCTCTCTAACTATCCATCTGTTTGAGGACTAGGATCTCTATCAGATACTATACTTACTGGTATCCCGTGCAATCTTATAATCTCATCTATATAAAGTTTGACAAGTTTCTCCAATGGATATTTCATTTAACTGACAAGAAATGTGCAGACTTAATCAATCGGTCCACTATCACCAAAAATCGCATCATGACCTTTTGTATTCGTGGCAACCTTGATACAAAATCCATTGTTATGTGTTCTCACTTCCATTCAAGTATCTCTAGAGGCTATAGCACACTCGAATGTTTTTTATGCTCAACCTTTACTTGCTGACAAGTGAGACATTTTTGGACAAATTGAGCAATCTCTAATTTCATGTTATCCCACCAAGATAGACTCTTGAGATCTTGATACATCTTACCACTGCCAGGATTTACCATATATCTGGAACAGTGAGTTTCTTCTAAGATTTCTCTCTTTAGTTTATCATCCTTTGGCACTACATTTCATTTTTGAAACCGTAAAATGCCATCCGGACCTAAATTGAAGTCGGGTAACTCTCTCTTTTCCACTCTCTTCAACCATTTTTGCACCATTGGTTCTTTCTTTTGGAACTCTTTAATTCGATCCAATAATGTTGACTTCACCATAATATTGCCAAAGTTAACTCTCCATAGCTCAAGACGAGGATTCCATTCACTAACATCTTCTAACAGGTTCCATTCTCTTATAATTAAACCTACTAGCTGAGTTTTCTGACTTAAGGAATCTGCCACTATATTGGGTTTTTCCGAATGGTAATTATTGGTACAATCATAATCTTTTAAGAACTCTATCCATCAACGCTGCCTCAGGTTTAATTTCCTTTTGAGAGAGTAAATACTTAAAACTTTTATGGTTCATATACACCTCAAAAGTCACCCCATACAAGTAATGTAGCAATTTCTTCAAAACAAATACAATGACTGTGAGTTCTAAATCATGGATCGGATAATTTTGCTCATGAGCTTTTAACTTCCAAGAAACATAGGTAATTACGTTTTGATTTTGCATTAAAATACACCCCAAACCTTCTCTCGAAACATCCGTATATATCGTATAAGTATTCTTTCCATTTAGCAGGGCTAACACTGATATCATGGTTAACCACTTCTTAAACTCTTGGAAACTATTTTCACACTTAGTGTCCCAAATGAATTTACCCTGCTTCTTAGTTAATTTTGTTAAAGGCCCTACAATTCTTGAGAAATTCTATATAAACCAACGGTAATACCCTACTAAATCCAAAAACTACGAACCTCAATTGGATTCTCCGGCTACTTTCATTTGGCAACAGTTTCAACTTTAGTTGGATCTATTGTGAGTCCATCATTTGAGACTATATGGTCTAGGAATGATACTTTGTTCAACCAGAACTCGCACTTGCTAAATTTGGCAAAAAGTTGATGTTCTCTTAGGATTTGTAATACCATCCTCAAATATCGCTAATGCTCTTCCTTTGTCTTTGAATACACCAAAATATTATTAATAAATACCATGAAAAACTGGTCCAAGTAAGGTTTAAACACTCGATGCATTAAATCCATGAATGCAGTTGGGGCATTAGTTAATCCAAAAGGCATCACCGTAAATTCATAATACCTATATCGAGTGTTAAAAGCAGTTTTTGGCACATCCTTCTTCTTAATTGTTAATTGATAATATTCTTGTCTAAAATCCAATTTAGAAAATATCACAGTCCCTTGTAATTGATCGAATAACTCGTCAATGTGAAGCAAAGAATATTTATTCTTAACGGTCACCGCATTCAAACTCCGATAATCGATACACAATCGCAAACCTCCATCTTTCTTTTTAACAAAAAGCACTGGAGCGCCCCAAGATGACTCACTCTCATGTATAAATCCCCATTCTAACAAGTCTTGCAATTGCAATTTCAGTTTCTTAAGTTCAGCGGGCACCATCCAATAAAGGGTTTTTGAGATAGGAATGGTTTTAGGTGCTAGATCAATCTTAAACTCTATTTCTCTCTCGAGAGGCAATGATACCAATTCATCAGGGAATACATCTGGATATTTATTTATCACCGACATATCATCTAGTTTAACTTTTTCTCTTGGGGTGTTGACTAGAAAGGTTAGATACACGTGTGCCCCCTTATTCAACAATTTCCTAACACTAACTCTCGAAATAAGGGCAGATGAGACTAAAGTACCCCTCACATCTAATTTTAAAGTTGCCTCACTTGGTACACAAAACTCAACCACTTTCATTCGACAATCTAACTGAGCATGATAACGAGTCAACTAATGTATACCTATGATAACATCATACCCCTTAATAGTCAGATTTATAAGATCTACTATCAATTTTCGCTCACCAATTCAGATCTCACAATTTCTATACACCTCATTGACAAGCAAATATTGATCACCCGTAGGTATTCTTACTTCTAAATCATATGGCAGCCTTGATACGAACTTGACCCAGCAAGAACCTATCTTGAAGAACCAAGTCGATCAGGCAGCGGAAGGATCTATCTTGATCAGGTTATGGAACAATAACTACCTTGCTAGACCTAAAGAGAACCCGTCTCTAGAAACCTAGTGGATTGGTTATTGGTTAAGGAACAATAACTAGCTTACTAGACCTAAAGAGAACCCGTCTCTAGAAACCTAGTGGATTGGCTATTGGCTTGAAAGAACAAGATGACGTAATCATCTTGCCTTGAACACCACAAGTATTCAAGCTAAATACTTGATACAGTTCAAGAAGAAACTCAAGTTCCATCAAGGAACTCCATAAAAGGAGACAACTCTCTTTTTACTAATTCATCTTCAATATCATGTCCTCAATAGTTAAATAAAGTTGGCTATTTATAACCTTACAAGACTCAAAACCCGAATCTAAATTGGAAACAATACAAACTTCCTTATTTGACTTGACACAACTTCTTAAATAAATTTGGAAACAATTAACTACTTTCCTAAAACTATAATTCAATTAGAATAAGAAACTAACTGACTCAATTGGCTTAACTATGGTCAACATGACCTTAGCCTTTATTTCCCTTAATAACTCAAGACTAACTAACAAGTATTGCTGGAAACTTACTTAAATAAATAACAAGAAATAAGCATGACAAATCTTCAATGATTCTTGAACCCGATTGCACCATCAACCATCAATTGAATTTCCTTGAATTTGAAGGGAATCCAAATCTTCATGTTCTCATCATTCCCCTCCTCTTGAAAGACGATTTGTCCTCAAATCGAGTGCTTGCTTACAAAGGAGTAACTCGGAGAATGTCTTGATAAATGCAATCCAAGAACCATGTCGCCAACTCAACTTGATTATGAACACGAACCATTGCACATGTTCCATTTGTCAAGAATATCTTCACCCAATTGTACTTGGCCAGAATTTGGAAGTCAACCAATATTTGGAAATCAATCAAGATTTGGCAATCAATCAAGATATCAATCAAGATTTGGAAATCAATCAAGATATCAATCAAGATTTGGAAACCAATCAAGACACAACTCACTTTGGAAGCAAACACAAGGAAAAAAAAAAAATTTTTTTCGGATGAACAGTTCTGCTACAGTACTAAGAACAGTGTTGCTACAGTAGCAGCGGATGAACAGTACTACTACAGGCGTGAATAGTGCGATGAACAGTATTCCGTGAACAGTCCGATTTTTTTTTTTTTTTTTTTTGCTTTTGACGACTCGACACAAGGTTACTACTTCGCTTGGAAAAAATTTAATGGGAGTTAAACCCTTGAAAAACCTGTTTTCAAGAATGTAATCACACCACAAAATTTCAACCTCGATCAATCACAGGGTAGGTTAGACTCAAGTGATAAAATCAAGAAAACAAAAATCAAAAATTTTTTTTGTTTCTTTTAAATCAAAAGGTGGCTAGGGTTTTGTTAGAAAAATAAATAGAAAATAAAATGATATTAACCTGAAACAAGAGCCGAAACTCACCAGATGATACGAACTTGACCCAGCAAGAACTTGTCTTGAAGAACCAAGTCGATCAGGCAGCGGAAGGATCTATCTTGATCAGGTTATGGAACAATAACTACCTTGCTAGACCTAAAGAGAACCCGTCTCTAGAAACCTAGTGGATTGGTTATTTGTTAAGGAACAATAACTACCTTACTAGACCTAAAGAGAACCCGTCTCTAGAAACCTAGTGGATTGGCTATTGGCTTGAAAGAACAAGATGACGTAATCATCTTGCCTTGAACACCACAAGTATTCAAGCTAAATACTTGATACAGTTCAAGAAGAAACTCAAGTTCCATCAAGGAACTCCATAAAAGGAGACAACTCTCTTTTTACTAATTCATCTTCAATATCATGTCCTAAATAGTTAAATAAAGTTGGCTATTTATAACCTTACAAGACTCAAAACCCTAATCTAAATTGGAAACAATACAAACTTCCTTATTTGACTTGACACAACTTCTTAAATAAATTTGGAAACAATTAACTACTTTCCTAAAACTATAATTCAATTAGAATAAGAAACTAACTGACTCAATTGGCTTAACTATGGTCAACATGACCTTAGCCTTTATTTCCCTTAATAACTCAAGACTAACTAACAAGTATTGCTGGAAACTTACTTAAATAAATAACAAGAAATAAGCATGACAAATCTTCAATGATTCTTGAACCCGATTGCACCATCAACCATCAATTGAATTTCCTTGAATTTGAAGGGAATCCAAATATTCATGTTCTCATCAAGCCTCTCGACTTTCACATCGATGGCACACATGAAATTAGGGTTTACAAAAGAATGAGTGGCACTAAAATCTATGAAAACCTTAGCCAGACGATGAAAGATATATCTTCTACTATCTTAGATGGGTTAGGTACTTGTTTCTAGTCCAAAACATATACTCTGGTGGGTACTTTGGATCTATTCCCTCCTATATTTGGTTGTTTAGGGTTTGACCTGTCTGACTACTGGGTGTCACCGAAAATCGGACAAGTTGCAATCTGGTGCTCAGTACTTCCTCACCATAAATATTTCTCTACCTTCTACTAACAATTATCCTCAATATGATTGGACTTTCGACAATATCCACAAAATGAACGAGGGGTTGATGTTTGACCTCCTTGTGAGGCACCTCTCAACTCCCCTAGATGTCCCTGAAATTCTCCCACTACCAGCTCCTCAACCCTCCTTAGGGGGCGGCATATTCCGATCACCTTGTCCTTACCCTTGGCCTTCACTAGGCGCACCTCTCTTTCTTGCATGAAAAACCTTTACCTACGCCCTCGCAATCTCAATCCTCTGGGCCTTCTCAAGAACCTCTGTGAATGTATTAATTTGTGCCACCACCAAAGCCTCTTGTATTTCTACATTCAACCCTTGTACAAACTACTTCACCCTCCTTTGCTTCGTAGTTACCAATTCAGGAGCAAATTTGGATAATTTAGTGAACTGAGTTTCATACTCAGATACACTTAAGACTTCTTGTCGTCGTCCAATGAAATCTTCCTCCCTTTTCTCCTAAACTATGGGTGGAAGATATTTCTCGTTAAACTCTCGTATAAAGTTCAACCAAGTCCACGCTATCTGTCCTCTCTCCTACTTAGTCCTAATCACATTCCACCAAGCTCGAGTTGGTCTTTCGAATCAAAATATGGCAAAATTCACTTGTTTTTCTTCCGTGTAATTCAAGGCGGTAAAGATATTGATAATTGTTTCCAGCCATATCTCCGCTACTTCTAGTCTGGTCCTCCAAGAAACTTGGGATGCGAGAACTTTTGAAACTGCTCTAGGACCCTATCTTTCCCTAGGTCCCTAGATTGGTTAATAGGGGTTTGACCCTACTGCTCCACCAACTGTGCTAAAATATTAGTCATTTGTTGGATTGCCATTGCTACCTGATCTCCTACTTGGGCCCTTGATTCAGGTTGTTACTCGATCGTTGCATGTCTTTCTTCCCTGAGTTCTTGTACTTGTCTACCCCCACGTCCACGGCTAGTACCATATGCTCGACTAGCCCCACGTCCTTGACTTCGTCTACCTTCCATATCTTTTTTTTAAAATAGACTATGGCAAAAGAAAGTAGCTATAAATACACTATATTAGAATAACACAATATACTTAAAGTAAAATACACTATATATATATCGCACAAGTTTTCAATACCTAGTCACAAGATATTATATATATAAACCCAATAAAGTCAAGTACATATATCAAAAACTATAGTACACCAAGCAAAACAAGTGTTATATGCATCAACTTTATCAGATCAATAACAAAAGTATATGTAGGCAAAACAAGGACACAACAGGTAATCTCAATCACCCCAGTCCCATCATATAACCCTAATGTTCTAGGTCCCTTGTCTAGTTCATCACCGAACTAGCTAATCCAACTTCCTCCTCAGGTGCAGTCGACTCCTTCTCAGGGTCCTCCTCAGGTTCTAGGTCAAATTCATTAGAGGCCACATTTCCTTGGCCTTCTTCAACTACGTTCACTTGAACCACTTCCTAAATGAGCATCCCACACTCAGTTAAGATATTCTCCATTCGGTCCCACACTTCTCTCACCACCCGAACAAGACGACCATTAACCTCCTATACTTGGTCTCGAAAAGCGTTAGCTCGCTCCTGTTCCTCAAGTATAGAAGTCTCAAACTCTCAAATTCTACCCCCTTGTATCCTTAACACTGCCCTTAGGGGCTCAATCTCAGTTTGAGCTCTACGATTGGCACTAGCCAACCTTCCCCTCTCATTCGCTATGGTGAGAACTACCCAATCAGGATACGATTAAGTTCGCCAGTAGTCACAACGTCTCACCCGGCATCCTGGGGCCCAACGACAAATAGGATCCCCTGATGATCCTAGTAACTAAAAACTCGACGAGGCCGTTCGGAACTCCTGTTCTCACCACCTCCTTCCATTGCTTACAATACAAGCAGCATCAAAAGAGCGAGCAATTTAGACAAGTAAAGCTAAGTTAGCCACCTATTTTCTAGGGTTTCATACTTAGACATTCACATGTGACCCGTCACTACTAGAAGACATTTAA